TTGATTCTGTACCTCCTTTATCTTCTCGTCCCAATGATTGGGGGCTCTTCTGGAATGATCATGGAAGTGGCTTCCATGCCCCATGTTTTGGTTTTCACCCTCATCCTCCTGGAGATAAGGGTCCTCTCCCTGGAAAGCAAGGGGAGGGGGAGGTGCAGCTCCCTCATGTTGGGCTTTCCGAAGTGGGGTGCCCAATGGGGCACCCGGGCGTGGAGCAACAGGGCGTGGTGCTTCTTGATGTCCAAGATGTGGAGCTCCTTGGGGTGCTCTATGTTGTGCACCTCTGTGGGGCCCTCCATGTTGTGCACCTCCATGTGGTGCTCCACGTTGTGCACCTCCGTGTGGTGCTCCACCTTGGGGTCCTCCATGTTGTGCACCTCCATGTGGTGCTCCTCCTTGTCCAGCAAGTATGAGTTTGTAGTAACTGTTGGTTTTGAGCAACCAGTTGCTGCATGGTCTCCAATATTTGTTGGAGATTCGGGGCTAAAGTATCCGGAACAGGGTTGATAGGCGGGGGGGTAACCTCCTCCTCTCGTGGAGGATTGTCTTCGTGTTGGTTCATGGATCGAGTAGTGATCGCCATTAGTTAATGGACGTAATGTTCAAGAGTGAGAATTTTGTCGATTCCCACAGACGGCGCCAAACTGATGATGCACAAAAATGGTTTTGCACACCACCTGTCAAGTATAGATAATAAATGCAATGAAATCAACGAAGGAATTAAAGAAGACACAATTTATAGTGGTTCGGTCAATTCGACCTACGTCCACTCTTCAATGGCTTCAGTCGCCGGGTATTTTATTGATTCAAAGGTATGGAGAATGGAGATACAAGCTTTGAGAAAAAGAATGGAGAATCAAAGAAAATAATAATCTCCGGTAGTCGGTTCGTCTTCTGTAAGTCTCTGATGGAGCATGTCCTTCCTCTCCTAGATTAGAGCCATTTTATAGTAGATAAGAGATCATTCTTGTGGAGATCATGACATATCCTCAAGGCTTCTTTATCGCAGCTTAGAGATTATCTTTGGTGGAGATCACGACTTATCCTCAACGGAAGGAAGAGGTTGGGGAGCTCTTCATGAAACGTGGTCAAAGATTGGACCGTTTCCTTCCTTAAGGCGGTGCAGATAAGCTTCCCGTGCTCTCCTCTTGGTGACGTGCTAAGCAAGAAGTCTAACCGGCCTCAAGCTTCCCGTGCTTCCTCTTGGTGACGTGCTAAGCAAGAAGTCTAACCGGCCTTGGTCTGTTTTGGACTTGGTGGATTCACAATGAGGTTGGGCTCCTCAACCGGGGTTGGGCTTTAATACATAAATTGGACTATTTGGGCTTAACCCATCAACAACTAAATGGGATCTTAATAGTACATTGCAATTCAATTCAATTTGCTTACTCATGTAAACACGTGTGTGATAAACATTATCACATTGCTCAATAAAAAAAATAAAAAAACTTCTAACAAACAAATACAAAATATGTCAATGAAAGTATGTAAATTGCCTAATTGACAACATACTTAAACAACCCAGAATGGAGGAAAATACCTCAGTTGTAGGCTGAACGTCGATATGACTATTCGTAAAGCCTACCAAAGTAAACAAATATTTATGATTAGTTGTTGAAAAACTAACACTAACACATACCAAAATAAAAGCAAAACTGGTATATGTATTTTAAACAACACACATCAATAAACAAACTATATCCCTATTTTTTGACACAGCCGAGAATGTGAATGAGATTGAGAGAGTGAGGGTGAGACCTGTGTTGAAGAAACAACAAAGAAACAAAACACCCTTATTTTGACGAAGACAAAGACCCATACAAGCTGAAAGTGAGCAGAGAGATAGAGACGGAGAGGAGTAAAGTGTCATTTGTAGAGGACCAAGCACAATAGGACAGTAACAAAATGAACGAATGTTTTGTTGCCTGTTACAAGATCTGAACATAGACAAAATGAAAGGTAGAGAGATCAAAACAGAGAGCGAGATAGATACACAGAGAGAGGGACAAGTCATTGTCTGTTCTGGGACTTCTTGGATGTTGTTTTTGCTTCACACAAAAAATGTAGGCGATCGGAACCATTGTAAAAAATGCCTAAAATGGAGATGCACAACAGAGAGAGAGAAATGCCTTCGGCCTTATGAAAGGGACTAGTGGGCACCGATAACAACAAGAGGGGGACCAATTAGGTGAAATGGACACAAAAGGGGGTAAAAACCCTAGATACGTTATTGTAGAAGAACCTTTAGGTAATTACTCCACCAATCCTGTCAGTGGGCTTAGATATCCCAAAGTCCAAGTTAGTTAAAGGTAGTCGGTTCAGAGGGAATAACTAGCCTCAAATTATATGGGCCAATTGTATGAGCCCAACGATTATCCTATTCCATGTTGTGGATCCAAAGTTGGGTTTTATGGGCCCCAAATTATTTTACTCAATCCAACTTGTGTTATCCCCTTTTATCCATCAAACGAAACGCACCATAGGGTTCTAAATACATTCTCACCAAATTTTTTGAAATTTAAGTGGAGAAAGTGTTATTTTAAGTTTTTGTACAAATACTAGTCCACTTTTGATTTAAATTTAAGGGTGAATTATATTTTGTACCTTCAAAGATTTAAAATTGTTTACTTTGCACTCTTAGGTAGCGTTTGGTAACCGCTCGGTTTTTTTTTTTTTTTCATTTTATGGCTGGAAAAAACAAAATGTATTTGGTGAATGTTTTTTTTAACATCTCCATTTCAAAAAATAAGACTAAAATATAGAAACATCCAAAAAAATAAAAACAATGCTCCATGGTGATCTCTCATTTAATGAGACCCTGACTTCAATTCTCCTTAACAACAAAAAATGGATTTTTTTGCTTTATTTTAAAACCCCCTCTCTAGTCTCTGGTGTCTTAACTCTCTCTTTCTCTCTCTCTCTCTCCCTTCGCTGATGGTTCTGGTGGGTTTTGATGGTTCTACTGTGGGTTTCGATGGTTCCACTGTGGGTTTCGATGGTGGGGGGTTGGATTGGGAGTGGGTTTCGGTGGTTGTCGCTAACCATATGTCACAGAGAGAAGATTAGCTAAAGATAGCTCTATAGCATCCTTGAGCTCAACCGATCTTTATTACTACGATTTCGGCAAAACCACCAACACCCGTTAAAAAACCAACAAGATCGGCCGGAAAGAGGCACAAATTTGGGTTCTATTATGGAAGGGTTTTTGTTTCTTGTCGATGATAGAGTTAAAGAGAGTTAGGCAGTGGAAAAGTGTTCGAGCGATCAGTATAGTGACTTCAAGACATCAATGGTGGAGATGATTGTGGAGAAACAAATTTTTGGAACTGAAGATCTTGAGAGGCTGTTACTACATTTTCTTTCTTTGAATTCATCCTCTTATCATGAGATCCTTGTTCAGGTTTTCTCGGAGGTTTATGAAACTTTGTTTAACTGTTGATTTGGTTTAAGGATGAACATGTTTTGTTTGTGGTTTTGGTAGTTATGGGGGTTGAAATTGGGTGGTGGGGTTTGGTGGTGGGATAATTTTTAATATAATATCAAACTAAGTTTTTAATTTTTGTTTTCATAATTTTTTAAATATAATTGACTATTAAATATGTATTATATTTTTAATTTTTATCACTAAAAAAAACAAAATTTAGTCCTGTTTTTTTTTATAAAAAAAACATAAAAACGAAAATGTTACTAAACACCCCTTTAATAATTAATTTTTTAGATTATATTCTCATGTATTAAAATTAATATAATTTGGCCCTGCTTCAATTTTAGTTAAAATTTAAGGGCAAATTGTACCCTGTGTCGAGAAAGATTTAAACAAATTTTTTTTTTACTCTTAAAAATTAAAATTTTCATATTATATTTTTAATATATTAAAAATATTACAACGTGATCATTCTGTTAATTTCCGTTACTCATTCTGTCAACATCAATGAAATAGTTTTTGACGGAATAAAAAATATAAACTAACAGAAAGATTGTATTGCAATACTATTAATATATTTATGGAAGAATAATGTTTTTGAAACATAATTTAGGGATATAATTTGATAACATATTGCAATATGACCAACAGATTGATAGTGAAATACATTTAATGTTGCAATGAGTCTTATCAATAAATACATTCATCTATCAATTTATTAGTTATAATTCATTATATCCCTCAGTTATATATTTCTCAATTATATCCCAATAATATTAGTATTGATGGCATAATATAAAAAACCTAATCTTTAAAAATAAAAACTTTTGAATCTTGAAAAGTGCAAAGTGGGCATGTTTGGTTTCGTTCTGTAAAACTATTTTTTGTTCTCAAAATTTAAAAACACTGAAAACTTATTTGCTTAACATTTTTGTTTTCAAATTTTTGGAAAAAAAATGAGAATTGGAGCAAAAAAATAGAAAATAAGTTACACTTATTTTCAAAGTTTTCTTTGAAAATGTTGAAAACACAGAGATAGTTTGTGGTTTTTATTGAGGACTGTCATTCGAGTCTTCTTAGCAGGAAAAAACCTTCTTTCCTTTTTTTTTTCCTCTCTCTCTCTCCAACGTCTTCTTCTCCAGCGTCTCCGATGATTGCTGTGCAACGAAGATAGAGATGGATCTACCCGTGCTCATAGATGGAGAACACCGAAGATGGATCTATGCAACGAAGATGGAGAGCACCAAAGATCGCTGTATAGCAAAATTCAGATTTCCATAGATCTGAAGTACAAATATGTGTAAATCTAATTCTAAGTTTGGATTTGTGTGTGTGGGTTTTATGACGACAGAGAAAGGGGAAAGAAAGATAGAGATGGTAATTGTAGGTTTTGTAGATTATTACTCAAATAAAGTTTTTTTATTTATTTTTTAAAAATATATAACCAAATATATTTTATAATCTAAAAATTTTAAAAACCACTTTCTTACAATTTTTTCCATACTTTTTGCATCGATGAGTAAAAAGCTCCCGAACTCTCTACAGCGAAAGTGCACTCCATAAAACACACGCAAATATGTGGAGAAAAGCCCTAGTAAGCGTCGGTGGTGCACTGCAACCATGCCGCGTGACGGCTTTCCGACGGTCCTCCAGCGTCTCCACCGCCGTGAACTCCATGTTGCTCCGCTCCCTCAAAGAACACTATCTCGAAATCTCCAAAATGACTCCACCTCCGGTAACACACACACACGCACACGCACACACACACACACACACACTCTGTCTCTCTCTCTCTCTTTCTCTCTCTCTATCCCCCTCGGTTATATCTCTTTCCCTGTGAGTTAATCAAGAATTGACCTTTGAAGTGGAACCCCTGCTTGTAAAATTGGATGTTTTGTGTGCGGAAATGCAGCTAATATGTGACAACGTTTTATAGTTACGTTTTGACCTTCACAGTTCTTGGGGGTATTTGTGCTGTGTTTGTGTGTTAAATGGCAATGCTGATAAATTGATGTAGGGTTCCCTGAATTTAACTCAATATTCATGTCTCTTGCGTGAGGCAAGCTAGTTTTATTGCGTTTATCTATATTTGTGTTCCATTGTGTGTGGTGTTCTGTGGCAATGCTGCTAATTTTTTTCTAGGGTTTTATTGGGTCAATCTAGTGTTAGATTTTATGTTGGTTCTGTGCATTTTTTTTGGTTAAATTAAAGTGACACCCTTAGAGTTAGAACTTCCCTAAATACAAGGACTTCCTTTGGAATTTTTGAAATATCACTGCAGTCTCCTCTAGTTCATATATTAATTTTAGATGCTACACTTATCATCATGTTTCAAAATGAAAGGAAAGGTGCCATCAATGCCATGAAAGATTCTTCCCCTATTACAAACTTTAGTGGACTCGATTGAATAAAATAAAAATAAAAGGAATAAATTCCTATAAATATTATACACAAGCCAAAAAATAAAAAATTGTTCTTGGATCTCATGAACTAAATTGGAACAAAATAGAATGAATCAAAAGCAAAAATCAAAATAAAAAAAATAAAAGAATCATGCTCATTATGAAAAAAAAATGAATAAAATACTTACTAAGAAAAAAGAATAAACTCAATTTCCTTGACATTAAGACTAGATGATATAAAAATAAGAAAATATTGTTTTCAAATTTAATTTTTGTCTCTACTTGAACTTTGTATAAATAAAAGGAATAAATAATTATTGTTTATATTTTCAGTAAGTGTTATTAGAGAAAAATGAGGACAAAACTGCAAATTGACCCATTTTGATCCGAAAAAATTTGATTGGCGGTGTCGGTGTACTTCCAGAAAATCGAATGGCTGCACCTGTATTTTGGGCAGTGTTCAAGGGGTGTGATTGCAATGATTGTTTTCTGGGATTGGGGGGAATTGTGGAAATGTTGCTAAATCTATCTAGGGTTTCAACATATTAATTTAATTTTTGATGAACTTTATCTTGTGCTCTGCATATGTGTGTATGAGTGGGGTAGGGCAGGGCTGCTAAGTAGATTTTTTTGAAGTTAACTGTTTTTGCACATTTTTATTTTTTCACTAAGGTTATATAAATTGTATGTTTGTCGCAGAAGGTGAGCCCACCTCAACCATTTACAGTGGTGAAAGGGGCGCTTGATAGTGCTACTCCTGTTTTAAAACGGACCTATGGTGATGAGGTGATTAGTATTTATGTAATGCGGTTGGCTAACATTATTCCCAGTGGCGGTGGGGATGACGATGATGATGATGGAATTAATCAGTTGTTTGTTCATGTGGATATCTCAAAGCCTGGACAGAAGGATTCTTTGCATTTTCTTTGTGGACTGTATCCAGATGCATTGGGAATTCACTCAGTTTCGATGAGGCCAAAGCTTGAGACTTCAGGATTTCTTGTGGTTCCGACGAAATACAATGGCCCTGTTTTCCAGTAAGTCACTTCATGTGTTGTATTATGCTGATGTTATAGTTGAATAAATTGATCGCCTTTAATTCGATTTGAATGAAATAAGTTTCTATACAATGCAACACAACAACATTTTGAGTTCTTTAATGTTTGAACTTCTTTGTGGATAAAAAGCAAAAAATCTAGCATGCATATGTATGCAGTCAAAGCCGAGATTAATAGCATTATTGATGTATGCATCCTGGAGTCTTGGTGTATGAAATCATTTTAGAAACTTCTTTTTATCTTTTTGTCTCAATTGGGGTAAAATAATTTAATTCAAGGACTCGAGGTGAAAACCAACACCAACTTCAAATTTAGGGATAAAATCTTCCCCTTTTGTCTCTTGCAAATTAGGTACTAACTTCCCCTTCTCCATCTTACTTGTAGCAAAAAGAAAAAAAAGAGGTTATCAAAATTTTAAGCAACATAATTTGGAACCAATAACTGATGTAGGCCATGCGGCAATGATGATCTGTAAGTGACCTTGTTCTTTTTGTAGTGTTGAGTTGAACACATGTGATTCTTTAAGGGTTAAGAGTTTGTATGGGAGTTGGAAAGTTATACTTGTGTATAAGAATGGTAAGATGAAGGAGAAACTGAATTTAAGTAGTTTTTTCCTAGTGGTATCAATTGCGCTGTCTTGTCATGTTTGGGTCATTTCATTTTTCGTTGTATCATTTTCGGGTCACGCCCTTTTGGGTCTCTCATGTTCGTGCCGACATATATTTGTCGTGAACCAAAAACATTATTACTAGGATCTCCATCTTTCTTAACTGAATCTACTTCACATAGGTCCCCCCCCCTCTCTCCAGCCCTACCCCCCACACATAGATTAAAAATATACTGGATTCACATCCTAGTAAAATCAAAATATAAAACTTAATCCCACAATTATTCATTATAGATCAAGAAATGATTTTTTTTTATTCAATAGCAGTCAAATGGGTCTATTGTGCCAAAACCGGTTTGTTCATGTTAATTAATTGCCATTTTCGAGTTAGAGTCATGTTGGGCTCGAGTCGTGTAACAGGTATTGTAGAAATTAGCACTCTTATGTTCTATTTTCAGAAGAGTATATTTGGGAAATGGTTCTAAAAAGCAGCACGTCTAGTAAACTGACATGTTTCTACCATTAGGGTATGATTAACATTTTTGTTTGTTGAAAATGACAGAGATCTTGATGGGAAAATGAGAGATGCACTTCATGGTTACATTGAAGAGCGAGGTATTAATGAGAGCCTCTTTCCATTTCTTCAAGCTTGGCTTTATGTGAAGGATCACCGGCATCTTATGGGTTGGTTCAAATCAGTCGGTACATTCATTAATGAGAGAAAGCAAGAAGCTTCACTTGCTTAATGTTTTGTCACGCTAGTTTTTCTGAAATTTTTCTATGTGAGCCAGCATGGGAGATTGCTCCCAAGTTAGTCCTCTATATACAAATGCAATGTGGTTGGCTGGTAAGTGTAGGTAATGTTTTTGTTGTGGCAGTTTTTCAAGGCCATCTGCATCTCCCAATGTTTGAGTTTTAAGTATCGTACCAGTTCATTAGTTCTATTTTATGTTTAGTCATTTGAAGTTCTTGTATTGTACATCTCCACACGGTCTCCGTAGTTTTTCAAGGCCATCTGCGTCTCCCAATAATGCTTGCTGCATATATAGTACTCATACATTTCTACCTATTGGCAGGGACAGAGCAGGAATATATTTCTAGGAGGGCTCTTTCAATACATGCTTGAAAATTTTCCCCCCTATAGGTGAAAGTAAGAAGTTTGTACATTTGTATTTATCATCTCATATTTGATACATTAAGATTCATTGGACAAAAAGCAATCTACAAGGTATATATAAACAAAAAATAACAAACGAGCCTATTTAAAATTACAATCCTTTACACAAAGTGAATTTTCATACGTTGAGAGTGTAGAACTTTATTATCAATGCCATCAAAAATATCTTTCTCTATATATGCAGCTTGTGCAATCAATCATTGGTTATCCATAAATCATCCATTTGGTTATACAATCCATTCTTCGTAATTTCAAGCCTTGTAATTTACTTAAAAAATTTCTTCCAAACATTATTATTTAGATATGAAACTAGCAAAGCCGATATATAAAATTTTGGTGTGATAATATAAATGAAACCCAGTTGAAACACATCAAACACAATTATCAACAATTGTAGAGAAGTGGAGATAGTTGGTCATAAAAAGATAGAAGCTACTCGCAGGCCACTTGCCAGTAATTCAATGTTTAAATTAAGAACACACAAAACCAAAACAATAATAAGTATACAAATCAATGCTAATTGCAAAAGTTCGTAATACAATAACAATCACTAGACATACAATTATTGATCAATTGACTTAGTCATAAAGAAGCAAGAAGGGAATAGGGTAAGTCAGTGTTATTTAAGGCATAAAGCGAATTGAAGTAAACCGGTCTCTTGAGCGCCTAGGCGAGAAGCGGAGCGAGTGCTTTATCGAAGCAAAACGAATAATATAAAAAATAAACAAATATTTTAGTTTGATACTTTAATTACTCCTAAATATTCAAGTTTCGACTTTACAAATACAAAATATTTAAACGCAACCAAAATAATAAACATCAACATATTTTAAATAGACAAGATATTAATATTGAACATTATTGTATTTTAAAAATAATCAATTGATATAATCACGTCATCTAACTGTAAGGTTAACAAATGTAGGTTCGACTTCCATTGTGATTGATTATATATCACCACTAAATACTCAAAAATTGATTAATCAAATAGAATATATAGCAAATTGATTAATCATTTGATTGACCAAACAAATTGATTAACAAGAGCATTCACTTCAAAACAGAGTATTCCAACATCATCTAATCATAATAAGACAGATTGTTATACTATACTGTTAGATGAATCAATCAAATTATTATATATATATATTTATTTATTTATTATATAACATCATCTCTGTAAGGTTTTGGTTAATGTTAAGGAAGAAGAAGAAGAAG